TTAGGAGATTCACCGGTGATTTAAAAAGTAAAAAGTTCAAAAGATTGACTAAAGCTGTATGTGGACTGATGGATGACTACAGCATGGTCTGGTTTTTACCATATGATCAATTAGATGAAGAAAGCATGAACAGTGTATTACAGCATACTGATTTTACTATTCACTATGGGGAAGACTTGGAACTTAAAGAACCAAAGGAGCGCGAAGATGAGTCTTCCACTACGTTTGATGAGTATTTTCAAGAAAGCCAAAATGAATGAAACATCTACTGAATGTCTCCATATATATATATATGAAGATCTTGTGGTCAAATTGGCGGAATATTCTTTTCAAAGGAAACAGTGGGAGAAATCTGCTTATTTTATATTATTTTTTTAAATTTTATTGAAAAAATTGAAATAACAATTGGGCAGTTTCAAAACAAGTTAGCAGGACACTTACAATAATTAATACATTGCATATTGTTGTCTTCGTGGTAGTTATTCATAGTACAAGTTGCAGCCATGATATTCTATCCGAACACCATTAGTACAAGTCTTTCTTCCCATTGAATTAACAGAAAGTAGCTGTACATCTATCCTATTAGTATATACAGATACAAAATGTCCTTCAATTATATCCTTGTTTTGTTTTGTTTTGACAGAGATGGGTATTCCATTGCCATTTAACTATTGTAGGTGTGTGAAATCAGCAAAATATTCCAATATAGTCCAGTAGTCCATAATCGTAGTGGGTTATCCGTAGGATTGGCCATGTCAGAAGTTGTTGACTTGAGCTCTTTACAGCTCAGCATATTAATATGCTTTACTTTATATACCTCATTTTTATACTTTTCTGCTGGATGGTTAAGACCAAGATAAAGCAAGACCTATATAACAAAAAATGTAACTTTTGTATCTGACAAAGTCAGTCAAGTACCATCAGTATTTATCTTGTAACCCTGTACCGCACTTTGTAGATCCTTTGTTAGTGTCAGCTATGTGGATGAGTCATGGCCTTTGCTTGACCAATGGTCTCTCTGTGAAAGCCTGAGAGAATGTTTTCTCTTTATGTGACTCTCCTTAGGTACACTCTACATCGTTAATCACTTTCCTCTGTGGCCCCACAATCTCGTTGATGAGAAAATTTGGGCTATCCCTGAGTTAATGGATGTTACAGTACAAGTTCATGGCCTGAGTCCTCACTGACCTTGAAAAGCTAGGGCCAAAATGTTGGCTATCCTTGAAGCCCTTCTTTTTACTAATTTTTGGTTTATAAATTTAAGTTGTTAACCCTCTGGAAGATAAGCTTAACATTATTACCATATAGCTATCTGTTTGAATATCAAACATCTTAGACATAACATGGAACAGTTATTTTCCATCAGGTATTGATATGTTAAACTTTAAATCCAATGCTTATTTTAGTTGTAAAAAAAAAAAAAAAGTGCTGTGCTAATTGCCTGGAGCATCCCTGGATCAAGTTCTAAGTTATTGTGTAGCTGCTGCTGTCCAAAGGGGAATCTTTTAGACTTGAAAGAGAAGTTCTGTCACACAACACTGTGAAGCACATGCAGAGTCAGGCTTCAATTCCATGAAAGGGGATGGGAGTGGCATGGAACCTTTAGCAGGATTCTGATAGCATCAATTTAATTATATTTTCTCTTGACATGTTATGTAGGCCAGTCTGGCTTTAGTGTCATTATATCATCCACCAGGCTGGACCTCATGGCTGGAACTTCCTGCCCCACCTCCTGAGTGCCAGGATTACAGGTGTGTGCCACCACACTTAATTTTTTAGTTTAGATTTTAAAAATCAAAGTTAAAATGAGAAGAGGAGATGTAGCTCAGTGTTGGAATGCTTGCCTTGCAGTGTAGCAGGCCCTGAATTCAGTCCCCTTCCAAAAGGAAAAAAAGTGAATGCATATGGACTTGTATACAGTATAGGTTAGGACCTGTTCTATATAGCTAAGGCCAGCTTAATTTTATTTAAGTTTTTGTTTTGTTTTATTTCGTTTTAGCAGCACAGATTATTTTAACAAAATATATCTCCAAAGGGGGAAAAATCTGGAAAGGTATACATAAGACCTATCTGTATCTTTTTATTGCTCTACATTAAAATGTGTTATTTGACTAAAAAATAAAAAAGCAGAATAAAATAGTGCTTCTGTTAAACTTCCATATCAGAATTCTTGGGATGTATTAGTGTGTAATTGTCATGACAAAATTAATTTTACCAATATGAATATGATATGAATTTTAAGATGGAGACAATTCCCTAATTATTTGGGAGGGTCCAAGGCAATCACATAAGAGCTTAAAAGTGAAAGCAGGAGGTAACAAAGAACCAAAGTCATTCTTGGGAAGTGTGAAAGATAACAGCTGCTGCTAACTGTGAAGACAGAAGATTTCCCAGCATAAAGAAACCATGACCAAATTGTGGGGGTGGCTCCTGAGAAAGCACAAGATACATACGTGCACAGAGGATTTTCTCTAGAGCATGCAGAGGGGACGTGACTGTGATGGAGAATTATTTTTGACTCTCCAAAACCCAGTTTCAAATTTTCAGTTACATAAGTGTGGGATAATAAGGTGGTGTCATTTTAAATGACCAAGTTTGGGAGAATTTATTACAGCATCAATAGAAATATATATATTTAGAGAGAGAGAGAGAAATATATGCATATATATTATGTATATATATGTATGTATACATGTATATATAGAAATATATAATATATATGTTTATATATAAATATATATACATATATATTGTCTATATATGTATATATGTATGTATATATGTATATGTATATGTGTATATATATATGTTCTATGACTGTGTAAACTGAGCTTTAAGTAAATTTAGTAAAAGAAATCAAATAAGTTCACAAAAAAAGTACATGTGATACTTGAATTGTTTTATAATTTTATTAGACATACACTATATGTAGATAAGAATTTAGGGAGACATCTGTATTTCTGTTAATATCTAAATTGTTTAACGGAATTGACAACCAACACACCTAATAGAAGTTGGATGGTATGTAATGACAACTGAATCTCTCTTGTTCTGATATTTTGAGTAGAAGAGAAAGAATGATTTTAGGTTTTTTATTTTAAAGATTATGATTTGGAATCAAAAGCTTAGTCAACAGTTATTAGGTAGTACTTTCAGCAATGATAATTAGTAAGAATCCCTTTCCTCTAAATAAATCTAATAAGTTTCTTTTTTTTTAACTGTGAAATTATAATAGAACCATCAATTTTAAAGTTAATTTTAAGTATAAATAAAATGGACTTGCTGGATCATAACACATTATGAAAAAAAGTCAATATCTTTGTTTCTGTATGCTCGCAGTTCTTGATGTTATACTGGGTAGATCCTTAGTAGAAGACAAAGTATTATAGGGCCAGGAGATAGCTCAGAAGTCTAAGTGCTTGCCTGGCAAGTGAAAGGACCTGGGTTCTGTCCCTGGTACTGCATGTCATGCTGACCACACACCTTGCTGGTCACCAGAACCGGGTGCGGTGGTGCACATCTGAAACCCCACCACTAGAGAGGCTGAGAAAGGAGCATCACCAGTCAGGCTGTGTACAGAGACCCTGTACCAAATAAATAAACAAATAAATAAATACAACTTTGATAAAAGGAAAAAAAGTATTGTGGGGCACCACACCATATGGTAATATGTGTACATGTTTGCCATACATGATGTTTGTATTTTTTGGGGGGAGTATGTGCACACATACATGACGCAGTTTGTTTCTTACTTTGGTGTCCTTCCCCTTCCCAATGACTCCCTCCCCCTAAGTCAGTCTTTCTCCACTTCATTCTTGTTATCAGTATCCTGAGCTCATGGTTGCAGCACATGTTTACAGTCACTGAGATTATTAAACTCCTCTTTCTCCCTCATCCTCCCATCCTCAGCTTCCTGGAGCCCTTCCCATTTGCAGGAGATCTATCCACTTTGTTATGCATGGACATTAACAAAAATGGAATGACACTTAAGAGTTGTCATTCAGATATAGGTGTGTGTTAATCATTCCAAAGTCCAATTTTAATGGACTGAATATTTTGTTATTCCAAATTCATGAGTTGCAAAAGTGCAACATATTTAGATAAGTATGTAGTATTTGGAGGTTATTAGCTCATGTGGGTGAAGTTCTTTTGAAATGAATTGGTATAACTAAAAGAATTTAGAGTGCTTTCTTTTTTTTTCTTTTTTTTTTTTTTGGCAATTCTATTTTATTTCCATTTTAACAAGTATTAGAAAAAAGCCCTACCAATTCTGTGTTCCCGAAACACAAGCCCAATAACTATATTTGAGGCCAAGCAAATCAGTGAATTTTTTGTAGTCACAAAAAGCATTCTTTAGCTGCTTTGAAATAAAGTCTAATAAACTAGCCACTAAAGAGTCAGAAACTAGATAGCTCTTTACCTTGCTCATGAATAGAACCTTCCCTTGTAAATTATTAGCTTCTAAATATAAATTCCAATACCTGTATCAAAAAATAATATATTTGCCAACAGTAAATTCAACTACTTATATTTTAATGTTTACAAAGTTTTTAGTCAATTAAGTTGATAATTACTTTTAATTTTAATAAATACCAGTAATACTGCAAAATTCCCTATGTTCCTAATACATCAAAACCAGTCACAATCCAGAAGATGTAAGATACATTTTTATACATTTTAAATGAAAAAGATCTCATTCCTAACAGGCAAAGTACCAAGTAGGTTTACAGAGCTTCATTTCTACTTTCCATGATCAAACTCTTCTGTTATCAAAGTGTTTCAAATGTAATTTGAGAATTTTTTTAGTTTTTATTTAGCTTATACACTGAAAACTGACAAGAATCTAAAAAGATTGACAATTAGTGCAAAAACAAAATATTTTAGAGGTAATTTTTTCCCCGTATAAATACACTGGAGGTTAGTAAATATCAAATTTTATGTAAATATATAATTTCCTACTTTTTTCCTGAAAGACAGCAGACAGAAAAATTAAGCTTTACTTTAACTACAAAAATATTTCAGCCACATTTTAAGGCAAAAATAAACACAGTTAGAATATAATTTCATTATTTGTGAAGACTAGATGCAAGAATGCTGATTGTTTTCCTTGTAAATGGAATATATGCCAGAATGCTTATGGCAGTCATTTAAATCGTAATGAATACATTAAAAAAAAATACTGGTTAATCTGTGAAGAATTCCACATTTGCTTATTTTACAAAATTTCTTCCATTTGGTAGGGCTTTGGTACAAGTAGTTTCTGCTACTTCCATCATTTATCTTCCTTCTTTGCTGCTTTTTCATTTTTCTGTTTTCTCACATTTGGATTTGATGTTCCTCCTTCACCTTCCCTCTGAGAATCATCAGTTATTTGATAGTCTTCAAGGATTTTCTGCCCTGTTTGTTTTGCAGTTTTCTTCACCATTGCTTTAATACCAATGTTGTCAATATTATAGGCAGTTACACCAACATTGATGGCAGAATCCACTGCATGATGTGTAGCTTCTCCTGCATTATGCCCGTATTTGTATCTGACGGTTTGTACTGTTTCAGCTGAAACATTGTCAACAATGCATTTAGCTGCACATCCTAATCCCTGCCAGACAGTTGAAAATCCTTGAACACTACTTGCTGCAACAACCATAGCACCATCCAGGGTAGACTTTCCATCTTTGTCTCTTTTAAGAGATTCTGGAACAAGTTTGCTTCCATGCTTCTTAACATGTGGAGCTAATTCTTTTCCAACACAATTTGCTACAGTGCAGACTCCATCAACTAGGAACTGGCTGACTTTGGCTGCTCCTCCTGTAGCCTGCTTGGCTATATAAAGTCCCCTGGAGACAGCTGGACTAACTTCCACTGGTTTCTCTTCTGGCTGAATCTGTTCTCGGAGTATGGAAGCACCTTTCTGGATTGCTTTGCCAGTAAACTCAGCACCTTTGACTAAACCCCAACTCACCCAGCAAGCACCTGACAAAATGTTTTGAGCCACTTTCTCACTCCATTCAGGTAATTCTTTTGCTCTTTCTTCTGAAACTGGCTCACAGGGTACAATGTTACTCAGATTAACTTCTTCATTTGAAGTATCTTTAGTCTTTTTCTTATGTTTTCCTTTATGATGCACAGTCTTGTTGCCTTGGCCCAATGAAGGGTCCAACTGACTCACATCACTACCAGAGACTCCCTTCACTTGGTCAGAGGGGGGTCTTGTTCTTCCAGGGATTTGAAATTCATTTTCTCCTTCTGCCCTACTCCAGTTGGCCTGGAGCCGAAGGTCAGACATTTGTCTTAATAAATCCTCAAAGAGTTCTCTATCATCTTCTGGTAGCTCAGAGGATAAGACCATACCCACAAAGCATCCTGCTGCTTGTAACATTGTATCGGGAAACATGTAGGCTCCCACAGAACATTTGAGAACTGGAGATCTATCAGGAACCAGAGGGTACAACCAGCCACAAACCTGAAGAAACCCAGGAGGGCGGTTTAGAACTGTATCAGGAGAATTATCCAAGAACCTCACAATTCGAAGGTACCCAGGATACGAAGGTGCACTGACCTCCCCGGCAGGATTTACAAAAAAAATCTGTACTCCATTTGGTATCAAAATCAATTCATCTGCATCCATCCCTAGTCTCAAGAGGAGGTGGCTGAGAATGACTTGCATAGAAATCTTCTCCAACTGACGAAATTTCACCAGAATCTGTTCCATAAGACACAGTGTAGTGACCCTCTGCAGCCTGAGGAGTATAAGCAGGAGGAGCTCCTGATGGACAGCTTGGAGATGGTAAGGCTGGAGAAGATGGTGCAACAGTAGGTCCTGAACTGGTAGTTGCTGTGTTATCATTTATTTCAGTATGCTGAGGTGAGTTAAAGGACTGAGGCTCTCTTGACTTTTCATACATGTCTTTAGGTGGAAATTCTGGCTGTAACTTGGATACTTCCTGAAGATCCTTTTGTAGGGAGGTGGCAAGACCCTTCTCTAGAATTTCTAACCTGGCGCGTACATTCTGTAGTGTTTATTTCATTTTCTGCTGCATTTGTCTAGCAGATTCCCATCCGGGGCCTGTGTGTTGAGGCTCTGTTGTAATAATGCTGATTCCCCTCAGAAGGTGTCCTATTCCTTGCTTATAGTTGTTCTTTGCTTCTTCTTTCTGCCCTAATTCATCTGTATTCAAACCTTTATTAACAAATAAAAAGGCATTTTTGTATGCTTCCCTGATAATCTTAATTTCAGCAGGTTCTTCATTTTGTGACTCTTGCTCCATTTCTTCTAAGTGCTGGGGGCGCCCGCTCACGCCTGCACGCCGCGGTGAAACTTCGGGGAGGAAAGGAGCGAGGGCGGCCTGCCAGACGCATCGGGCCACGGCTCTCTAGAGTGCTTTCTTGCACACTTTTTCTGTTGGCAGACAAAGAAGTCAGCAGCCTACCTCCTGGAAGAAGGGCTTCACAAGAACATGACCATATTGGAAGCCTATCAGATGTCTAATCAGACTCATTAGAAATGAATGGTGGCTGTTATTAGATACCAAGTCTATGCTACTCCTTAAGGCAGCCCAAACTAAGATACCTAATATCCAGGAGACATAAATAAATAAATAAGTAAAGTTAGTTATGCATTCTACTTATTCAGTGATTTGAAGGTGGAAAAGACCCAATAAAATATGTTGATAAAATTCAACTTTCTTGCTTCTCTAATATGTGTTCTTTTATTCATTCTTATGCATATTTTAAGATATAGCACACTTTTCTACATGTTAATCTCTAGACTTTTAATTCCAAAAGGAAAAATTTCCAGGGAAATATAACTAATGAGTAATATATCATCACTAAAATATAGAAACATGGTTTTAAAATAAAAAGCACAATATGTTGTAAAAATTAGTTTTTCCAACTTTGGACATTGCCAGTCTTATGGAAAACCCACTACTATTATGGACTACTGAACTCTATTGGGAGATTCCACTGAATTAATGCACCTATAATATTTAAATGACAATAGAATGCCCTTCTCTGACAAAACTAACCAAAAAAGTGGGATAGAAATGAACGACCCTTTTGTATCTATATACTCAAAAAAGTTAGAATAGCTATATAGCTCCATTCTCTTAATTCAATGAATAGAGAGCTTTGTTATAATACTATTTGAGACAGGATATCAGGTCTGAATCTTGTACAACGAACAACCACTAAGACAACAATATGCAATGTATTGATTACTGTAAATGTGCTAGTAATAGGTTGTGAAACTGTCTCATTGATATTTGTTTCTCAATAAAATTATTAAAAATAATAATAAAAAATAAGACAGAAAAAATGAGTTTTCCATACTGTGACAAGGTATAAGTTTAAAATCTAAAAGTGTTAATTTGTTACATGAGTCAGCTGCACATGTTATCTTTCTCCAATCTTCAAATGTTCCCTGCCAGATACATTCTTATTACTAAGGACCATAAAGCATAAACATTGAAAATTGAATTGAAACTGAAAATATGTTCAAGTATTCTCATCTCAGAACTGTCTTCGCATGAAAATTTGCCTTTACCCATATAACAAAGCTTTATTCTTATATTAATTAACTCAAGTTATTAAAATTTTGTTGTAAATGATTGAGAAGCATGCTGTTTAATTTGTTATTCTACATATGGGAAAATTCTTTTAAATTATATCGCCTTGGCAAAGGAATGAATATGTACCTTCAGCTTCATTTATACCTAGAGCTGGTGTGCTCTTATTCAGGTATGACTACTTGAATCTTTTATTAAAACAAACAAACAAACAATCCAATAAACAAACACAAGGAAAGAAGATTAGTGCAGAAATTCCATTTCTTGCGAGGTGGGGAGTGAGGTGGGTCATTCAGGCTCATGAGCATATTTGCTTTGTGCATCATGCTAGCAAAGGGACCTCTAATCAGGTGAGCTCCTCCTTGTGCTTCTTAAGAGGCACTTGCAATGGGGAAAATATGTATTTTCTTCTGTGTGCCTCCAATCATGAATGAATAGATTAATTATGGAATTCAAGCTTGATGAATCCCTTCTCCACTTAAATTTGATAGAGGGAACCCAGTTATTTTGTAATCGAGAAGTTCAACGGAAAAATTAATCTCAACTGTAGGTGCCTTGTCTTCCTGGCTCCCTTTCACATGTTGTATCTGTACATAATCATTTCTTTCCTCTTAAGCATCAGAAGGAGAAAACATGGGGAAGAACAAAAGTGCTTGGGGGCTGGTGAGATGGCTCAGTGGTCTAAAGCACCTATTTAGAACAAGCTTAGCAAAGCACAGGGACCGCGGTTCAATCCCCCAGCACCACATGCCAGCCAGCCCCGCCCCCCGGTGGGCTGAGCTGGCCACACACACACACACACACACACACACACACACGCAAAAATAAATAAATAAAATTAAAAAAAAAAAGTGCTTGGGACACTGTTTGCAAGTAAGTACTTGTCACAGTGAGCAGCCTTCCTTCCCTGAGAATGGAAGATGTGGGTTTGCCCTTTCCTGAAGGCTATATTTCACGGCCCATCTGTACTTGGGATTTATATCTCAAAAGAGCAAAAATAAATAAATAAATAAATAAAAAAGTAAGGTTTTATTTATTTAGTTGACTGATACGGGAAAAGGGAATTTGAGAGCCAATTATCTGGAGAAATTTTTGTCTCAAATTCAGTCATAACGCTTTAGCCCATCTTGTTCAGAGTATGTGAAAATAATAAATCTAGGGGCCACAAAAAGGAATCGAATTTTCAAGGAGAAAGGGCACAGGCACTTGAGTTTCTTGTAAATATACAATTAATTATGGTTCTTTATTTTACTTCGCTATAGTGATATTCTGTCTTTTTGTTCATTCCCTTTCACCAAAGTCTTATAATAAATGAAAAGTTGCTAATAAGTAAAAAATCATCCAGACAACTTTTAAATAATGATCATTTACTCAGTGTTAAACGTTTTGTACTTACAAGCACAGATCATCCTTGAAAGAGTCTGTATGAATGTTACGGTTTGTGTATGTGTTTCCACCCAAAGCCTCATGCAGTCATGGGGCGACATCTGGGGTTTGTGACTTGATCCCAGACTGGGATTGCGGGTGTGAGGGCTACACCCTGGTCCTGGGCTGAATAAGTAGCTTTAAATGTAAGGAGGGAAGAGAGGCTGGCTAGCGGCCTGAGCTGCTGCAACTCCCTTTGCTCTTGTTCTTTGCTGTCATGGTTGCTCTCTGCCATGTGCCCCTCAGCCGTGGAGCCAGCTGAGCATGGACTGAACCCTCCACTAACTGTAAGCTAGATAAACCTTTCCTTTCTTAATTTTGAGTGTTGGGTGTTTTGGCCCAGCAAAAGAGAACAGTAACTGAGACAAAGAAGTATTTGATGATAAACAAGTAAGCACTTGATGTATTGAGAATTTAAATAAATCGTGAGCTGATGGCTAAATCAATAGACTAGCTTCCTTGCTATACTCAAGATAGCTCAACCCAGAAATTTCATTTATTTATTTGATACAGTCATTAAATAATTGAATACTGTGTATTGTGCTGGTGATGATCTCATTCAATTTTCAAAAAAATATCAAATATATATAAAAATTATGTATATGTAATTTATATTCTCTTTCCTTCAAATATACACATTTTAAATAGCTAAATAACTTAATTGGATTCTGACAATGTATTTGGATGTCTTTGACACACACATTAAATTTAATGTATTTTAAGCCACAATAAAAAGAACAGGATATGCGTAATGCTGAACCACTAGATGTTCCCAATAAATGTTTGCTTTTGAGAAAGTAATTACTGCCGCTCTTCTGAACTTTAGGTACCTGCTATTAACCCAGTAGGAAATTTTAAATTGTAACTTACCCTGAAGTCAACTACTCACAGAAATGAACGTGTTCCTCCTTCTAATAGGAATAACAAATATTCTTCCATTCCTTCTTTTGAGCTAAAAGGGGCTGATAATTACATATAAGTAGTATATATATTGTTTTCATTTAAGTATTCTTTTTGTTATAGTATTTCACTTAAATTCATGTAATGATTAAAAAAACTGTGGTAAATATAAGGTTTTCATCTTAATTATTGCTATTTTGTACTTGTACTAAATGCAGACTGTTAGGTACAAATCAGTAAAACAAGTATTGGTAAGCCTCTTATGTAGAGCAATTCATAAAAGAAATGTAAAACTTTTCTGTCCTTTGAAAATATTCCTTAATGGTTGGAGATTGTGTGCTTTTACTTCGATAATTTTTCATGATTTAATGATTAAATACTTTAGAGAATTTAAATTATACGCGTAATAGTTTTCCTTTTCCAAATGTACCTTTGTAATGCTCCCTGATGAAATAATTAAGAATTAATCAAGGAGGAATATTTTATAAAACACTTGACTGAGAATATCAGAAAATAATGGCTCATTTCTTATTGAATTAAGAAAGTGGTCTAAACTGACTTTATGTGTAAATCTGTACCCATAACTAATAAACAGCATCAGCATAACTAAAATGTCCAACTAATCCTCTCATGTAATAATACAAAGAACAATATTATAATGTATGTCTCACTATACTTTATAAATTATCTAACACTAAATACATGTCTTGACATACTGTGAAATTAATGTTAATGCAGAGAATGATCTCATAGGTGTTATGTGGTGGGTAAATGAGAATTTGACCTTCAATACAGGAAAGAACAGAAGTATCAGGATTACAGAGGAATTTAAGAATTTCGTCAATGAGATTAAGATGTGAGTTCATTATTTAGAAATTGTAATGGAAAATTATTTTTGGAAAAAAATTGCATTTAAACAATTTACATTAAATACATAGGACAAGAAAATTGAAATATGCATTATCTCATGTTTTATTACATTTATTCTTAGAGATATGCATGCATATAATGAGGAGCTATTTTTAAGTTACTGTGAACTTTTGACATGGGTACCATAACATTCCCAATATGATTACCCTACATACTCAAACAGGAGCCACATGTCTAAAAGGATGTATTATAGCATAAGAAAGAAAAATCTTACACTGAAATGCCAAATTCTCCCCTTTTGTTTCTTCCTTATTTAATATATAACAGAGTTTATATTTTACAGCAATTGTTTATATTTTACAGCAATTCTAAGAAAATATTTCCATATTTTATGTGTTACTGGAAAGAACTAATGAATTGAACTCATTTCTTATAAGACATTACGTTAGAGATTTACAAATACAGATTGATTAGTTGACTAAGACAATACATACTAAGACAATGCACAACTTTCTCATTAGGATGAAATATGGTAAACAAAGACTGAAAAATTCTAATTAAAAATTCTGAAATACTTAGAGTTACTGAAATCACAGT